GGTTAACCCTGGCAAAAGGGGGGAAGGATCCTCCGGGAAAAAGAGGGAGATCGGCGCCCTCAGTGAAGATGAGGACGAAGAAGAGCCCCGCCAGAAGAAGCATCACATTCACATCATCGTCGGCGGGAACACAGGGGGGGACTCGGCTACCCAACGGAAAAAATGGGCTCAGTCCCTATACGTTGGTGAGGTGTCCCACGCCCCCCCTCAGCCGAAGCGACGGCACATGGAGGCCATCACCTTCACCGACAAAGACCTCCCCTGCGGCCCCTTGCCCCACAGGGACGCCCTCGTCATCAAATGCGAGATTGGTGACAACATCATCCACCGCAACTACATCGACACTGGCAGCTCCGTCAACGTGATGTACGTTGATACATTCAGCCAGCTAAAACTGAAGAAGACCGAGCTCCGGCCGATACGGACTCCGTTATCCGGCTTCACCGGGGACTCTATCGACGCCGAGGGCACGATAGTGCTTCCCGTGGTGGTCGGTGACGGTACCTGTCAGGCGAAAATTGACATGGAGTTCGTGGTCGTCAACCTAGACAGTGCCCACAACATGATCTGGGGCCGACCGGCCTTGGAGGACCTTGAGGCCATCATCTCCATGAAACATCTATGCCTCAAGTTCCCCACCAAGGACGGCGTCGGCTACGCCAGAGGAAACCAGAAGATAGCCAGGGCTTGCTACCTGAAGCTCACAAGGAAGATCAATGAGGCCGAGGAGCGGATAGACACTATCACCACCGCCTCGGCCGAAGAAGACACACCAAAGGCCGAACCGGTCGGAGACGTGGAAGATGTTCCGTTGGACGTCTCCCGGCCGGAACGCACGCTGAAGATTGGGACCCAGCTCCCCCAAGATACCCGAAGGGCCATACTCTCCGTCCTAAGAGCGTACGCCGTCGTCTTCGCATGGGGACCAGAGGACATGCATGCCGGGCATCAGCCCAAAGGTAATCACACATCGGCTATCGGTGAACCCGGCCTCCTCCCCCATCAAACAGAAGAAACGCTACCTCTCAGCTGACAGGAGGGAATTCGTCAAGACCGAAGTGGCCATGCTGCTCTCCATCAAGCACATAAAAGAGGTGAAGTACCCCACGTGGTTGGCGAACGTCGTCCTCGCACCAAAGCCGCCCACATTCAGAATGTGTGTTGATTACACTGACCTGAACAAGGCGTGTCCAATGGACCCATTCCCTCTCCCCAACATTGATCAGTTGGTGGACGAGACGGCGGGGTGCGAGTTGATGTCGTTCCTCGACGCGTTCAGAGGGTACCACCAAATATCAATGCATGAAGATAACGCGGAGAAGACTGCTTTCATGACCCCGGAGGGAATCTTTTGCTACCTCGTCATGGCCTTTGGGCTCAAAAATTCCGGCGCCACTTATACAAGAATGGTAGCCCGGGTTTTTAGAGCAGTCTTGGGCCGGACGATGGAAGCATACGTCGATGACATGATCGTCAAAAGCAAACAATCTACCACACATGCCGACGACCTCCGGGGCATCTTCGAAATCATGAAGAAGTACAACCTCCGGCTCAACCCAAAGAAATGCACCTTCGGCGTCCAGGGAGGAAAATTTCTGGGGTACCTGGTCAGCCGAAGGGGCATTGAAGTGAACCCGGAGAAGATACAAGCCATTATCAACATGGAGCCGCCCCGCAACATCAAAGAAGTGCAACGGCTGACGGGACGCCTTGCGGCCCTGAACCGTTTCCTTTCAAAGTCCGCGGAAAAATCGCTCCCCTTCTTCCAGATAATGAGGAAGGCCACCAGTTTCAAATGGACGGCGGAGTGCCAACAGGCTTTCGAGGAGCTAAAGCAATATCTCGCCTCCCCACCCGTCTTATCCAAGCCCCAGCCCGGCGAGACTCTCTTCCTTTACTTAGGAGTGAGCACGTCGGCCGTCAGCTCCGTGCTCATCAGGGAGGATGACGGGGTACAAAGGGCAATATTCTACGTCAGCAAGACGTTGCGGGAGGCCGAACTCAGGTACTCCCCCATTGAAAAGACGGTGTTGGCCATCGTCCATACAGTGAAGAAGCTTGGGCATTACTTCCAGGCTCACCCCGTCCATGTCCTCACGCATCAGCCGTTGGGCGCCCTCATGAGGAGCCCAACCAGCTCTCCAAGGATGATCAAATGGGCAATATTCTTGAGCCAGTACCAGATTGAGATCAAGCCGAGGCCATCTATCAAAGGGCAAGCCTTGGCTGACTTTGTCACCGAGTGCACGGCAAGAGAGACGGCCGTCACCACCACAGGAGCTGAACCAGATGAAGCCTGGACCCTCTACACGGACGGGTCCTCGGCAACCAAAGCTTGTGGGGGTGGCGTCGTCCTCATCTCCCCGGAAGGTTTCAGAGCGTACTACGCCATCCGCTTCAACTTCAAAGTATCCAACAATGAAGCCGAGTATGAAGCGCTCCTCAGCGGGCTCAGGCTGGCCGCTGGCCTCAAAGCACGACACATCAGAATCAAATGCGACTCCAAACTCGTGGTGAACCAGCTGGAGGGATCCTACGAGGCCAAAGAAGGGAGAATGAAGCAGTACAAGGAGGCCGCTGCGGAATTGCTCAAGGCGTTCGACGCCTACGAGATCACTCAGATCCCAAGGGCGGAGAACGCCGAGGCTGACATACTCTCCAAACTCAGCTCCGACACCCCTGAACACATCTCCAAGATAGCTAAGGTGGAGGAGTTGAGCATGTCAAGCATTCACGCTAGCCCTATACTCTCCATACAACACCAGCCGGAGGACTGGATCACTGACATCGCAACCTACATCACCTCCGGCACACTACCCGAAGATGAGGAGAGGGCCAAACTAGCCAAGCTCAGGGCTCCTAGCTATGTCATTGAGGGTGACAAGCTCTACAAGAGATCATACAATGGCACCCTCCTCCGGTGCCTACACCAGAATGAGGCCGAAGTGGCCATGGAAGAAGTCCACTGCGGTGTATGCTCATCACATCAGGGGCCCTTCAGCATGTCGCGCCGCCTCGTCGTCCAAGGCTATTTTTGGCCGACGATGGCACGTGATTGTGCGGAAGTCGCCCGCAAATGCAGCGCATGCCAGCATTATCAAAGGGCACCTGGCCGACCGGCCGTCAACTACGCCCCGGTCAGCACTGCCATACCATTTTCCAGATGGGGCATCGACCTCGTCGGCCCACTACCAAGAGCAGCAGGCAACAACAGATACATCATTGTCGTCATCGACTACTTCACCAAATGGGTCGAAGCCGAACCACTCGCAAGCATCACCGGAGCGCGGTGTCGAAACTTCGTCTACAAGAACATCCTCACCCGCTTCGGCGTGCCCCAGGAGATCATATCAGACAACGGCACCCAATTTGAGGCTGAACCGTTCCAAAGCCTCCTCCAAGAATGGGGTATCAAGCACCGTTTCTCCTCCGTTGCCTACCCTCAGGCCAACGGGCAGGTTGAGAACGCCAACAGAACCATCTTGGAGGGGTTAAAGAAGAAGCTCGAGGAAGAAGGCGGAAGTTGGGTCGACGAGCTCCCCAACGTCCTATGGTCCTACCGAACTACTCCAAGGAGGGCCACTGGGGAGACGCCATTCTCCTTGTGCTACGGCTTCGAAGCCAAGGCTCCCACTGAGGTCACCCTCCCCAGCCGACGGGTCACACAATACGACCCCGAAACCAATGAAGAGGCCATGAAGATTGACTTGCACCTCATTAACGAAAGACGTGAAATGGCTTACCTTCGGGCAGAGAACTACAGACGCCAAGTCAAATCTTACTACGACGCCAAGGTACGCTCCCGCGAATTCCAAGTGGGGGACTACGTCCTCCGCCGAAGGGAAGCAAGCAAGCCGACGGAAGGAGGAAAGCTCTCCGTCAAATATGAAGGGCCCTACATCATCAGCGCCGTCATCAAAGCCGGCACCTATAGACTAAAGAACCCTAATGGGTCAGATGTACCACGATTGTGGAATGTACACCATCTGGTGAAATTTTACCAATGACTCGAGAAGTGGTGAAGCGGGCAACGTCCCCCACCCCTCGGCTTATTGGTTGAACACAACACCCTCGGCCTAGCGCCACTTATTGAATAAAATGCATGTTTCATCCAATCTTTTAAGATTTGAGCAAAGGGAAACCCAAGGACCGCATCGGCCTAAGTGGTGCAAACACCCGGGACCGATGCGACCTAAAGCCGTTGCAATAAACAACGCACCTAAAGCCGTTGCAATAAACAACGCACCTAAAGCCGTTGCAATAAACGACGCACCTAAAGCCGTCGCGATAAACGACGCACCCAAAGCCGTTGCAATAAACAACGCACCTAAGGCCGTTGCGATCCACAACGCGCCTACAAAGCCGTTGCAAAGACAACGCACCTAAATATCGTATCGGCACAAGCGGTGAAACACCCAAATCGGCCGGCGATATACAGGACGAAGGACCTGTGTGCATGGTCTGACGTCTTCAAACGGAGAAGCATACCGCGTCGTCCGCGCGGAAACCGCAGGACGACAAGCCTGAATTAAGGACGAGGTTACAAAAACTCCACCCGTCAGTAAAATTTCGCTCAAGACCACAAAGGGCGGCCGTCAAAAGACGATGCCTAAGTCCGGTCCCTCGTCGACGATAGACGTGGAAATGCCAAAAAAGATGCCACTGACACACCAAGCCGAGGGCGTATTTACTCCCTCGCACGAATCCACGCGAAAAGCGTAGCGGACAAACTACCGCACATGGACGAAGGGACAGTAACCCTTCGACCACCTAAAAAAAAAGGGGATGTTTTGATGCTGATACTCAGAAATTCTAAGAGAAATAAGCCTCGTGGGTACGCAGATTCGTGCCCACCTGATACTTCGTCTCAATCACGCAGGGGCGCACTCCCCCCTGATACTTGGCAAAAAATTTTGGGAAAATTAAAAAGGAATACGAGGACGATAAAGACGAAGCAACACATTCATTCAAAGGCAAAAGAGTTCATTAATTTCAGATATCGAATACAAAAGGTGGGCGCTTCGGCCGTTACATGCACTTTGATGCTAGAGCTACAAAGGTAATAAAAAAGCCAAGTACAAACTACGCTGCCTCATCGGCTTGCTCCTTGCTCTGGCCGACGTCCTCTCCGCTGCCGCCACCAGCATCATCACCGCCGCCATCCTCATCAGCCTGGGAGTCGGCAGGCCCCTCGAGCAAGTAGTCGTCACTGTCGCTCCAGGGCTCTTCCCCTTCGGACGAACTTAGGATCGGAGGCTGCCTCTCCGATAGGGGAAGCTTCAAATCCTCATCAGGATTCTTCATCCGCCGAGGGAGACTCAGACCCCTCGGCCTCATCTTCCGGAAGCGACAACGCAGCTTCCTATAGATAAGCTTCTGCATCCGATACTGGCCGCAGTCGTAGAAAGCTTGCATCTCGTTCATCCAAAATGCTTCGCCGGCGGGATCCTTCGTCGTCCAATCATTCAACCTCTCAGCAACCACCTCATAGAAGAAGGGGAGTTGATCATCGGCTTTCCATCCCTCGGCCTTGAAGTCAGCAACGGACTTCTCAGCGGCCTTCTCAGCATTGGCTTTGAGCCGCTCCGCCTCCTCGGCTCTTTGGATGGCAGCGGCGATGGCCTCATCAGCTTTCTTCCGGGCCGCCTCGGCCTCATCAAGCCGCACCTGGAGGAGCTTCATTTCATCCTCCGCGGCTTTGGCCTTGTCCTTCAGGTCCTGAAGGGCCTCATCGGCTGAAAGAGCCTTAGCCTCCAGTTTCTTGAGGCGTTCGATCTCGGCCTCCTGTCTCCAGTGCTGCTCCCTCAGCATCAATGCACCCTGGACGAAGCAAAGTAAGGTCAGAGATGAAAGTGAAAACCAAGTAAAAGTCACAAAGTATGGGGAAGAGTCTTACCTGGACGACATAGTCCAAACCCCCATCGTACAGGTGGACGTGCTTGCCCTGCCGGCTGAGGTATTGCCGGTCATACTCAGGCATAGCCTGAGCGAGCACGTCGTCGCCACTAACGGTCTCGTTAAAGAGACCGCCCTTCACCGGGTAACGCACCGTCACCTCGTACGTCCCTTTGGCAAGGGCCTCCTCCAAACGGGCAGCAGCGGCGGTGGAAGGAGCCACTCGGGAAGCCGAAGCCACCAAAGCCGATGACGGTGGTTCATGCAGAGGAGGGACAACGGTCGGCTGAGCATCCTCAGCGGCCTGAGAGGAGGGAGCGCCGGCCTCGTCACTTAAGGGAACCCTCTTCGTCTTCTTTGAGGCATGTGGTTTCAGACCCGCCTCGGCCAGAGTTCTCTGGCCTTCATCGGCTCCTCTCTTTTTCTTCGGAGCAGGCTTCTTGACGGCCTCAGCACCCCCTTGAGAACCACCAGTGGATGCCTTGGCTTTCTCAGCGGCCTGAGCGGCCTTTAGCTCCGCATCGGCCTTCTTGGCGGCCCTGGCCATAAAAGACATACGATCCATGGCAAAGCCTGCACAGAACAAAGCAACATCAGTAAAGCAATAAATAAACACACTACGAGAAGAGAAAGTAGACGAAGGACAACCTTCGGCTTCGGCAGGGACACCGAGTGAGGGACCGTCGGCTTGCTCATAAGACCCCTCCATCTTCGGCCAGAGGTCATCGTCCATATCACCGGGGCAGTAATATCTTACGAAGCCGAGGGCGGCCATCCTATACTCAGTAATGTAAGTGGTTACGCTCCTCGGACCGCCCTTGATGAAAGCCTCCACCTGCCTACTGATCTCGGCATCCCACGGAGGATTATGCAACTCAAACAAGCCGTTGTGACCCGCAGACGGGAAGTAACCGCCTCGGCCAAGGTTAACAAAGACAAACTTTGCCTTCCAACCGTGGATTGATGAAGGAAGGTCTGTGAACGTCCTCCTCTTGGGGACCTGCTGTAAGGCGGCATAGCCGGCACAATTCTGATGACTCCCTCGGCCTATCCGGTACAGATTGGTGAAAAGCGCAGTTGTCGGCGAGAACCCCAACTCACCGCAACGGATAAGAAAGCCGACGATAAGCGAGTAGCTGTTGGGCGTCAGCAAGGCCGGAGGAAGACTCACCATGTCAAGATATTCCTTAATAAAAGGATGGAGAGGGAACCGCAAACCCTTCGCAAAGCTCATCGGATATATCCCAAAATAACCCAAAGGGGGGCTCAACACGTGATCCGTCGGCTTCGGCGCCCGCACCCGTCCATACGGCCCGACATATAACTGAGCTACGTGCACTACAACAAAACAAGTCTTTTGCAACAGCTTCAAAATGTTACATTAGATCATTAAAATGTTACAAAAGGCTAATGCAACACTTTTATGAGCGTTACATCAGGTCTCGTTGCATAAAGTAATATGCAACACTTTTTCTCTGATTATGCAACACTAAATGAAAGTGTTGCATAAATATCTCAAATGCAACACTTTTTTTGAAACACTCTAACGAGCATTTTATGCAACACTTTTTTAAATAAAATGCAACACTTAAGATATGACTTTTGGCAACACTTTTTAATATATATGTAACGTATTTGCTATTCTATTTTGCAACACTTATTATATATTGTAACACTTTAATGAATACTTTATGTAACATTTTATTCAAAATCGGCAACACTTCTCTAGAATTATAAGCAACACCCCTACCAAAATTTATATTAACCATTTTGTAACAATTTTTTTTTATAATTTTGTACACATACAGATATAAAATAACATGCTTGTAATATGAAATTTATATAATATAATATTACAAGTATTAAAATATTCATAATCTATAATGAAGAAATATCCAACATAGCATATGCTAGAAACAATATCCTGTATACATCTCAAAGTATGAAAGAATATGCTTGTAATATGAAATTTATATAATATAATATTACAAGTATTAAAATATTCATAATCTATAATGAAGAAATATCCAACATAGCATATGCTAGAAACAATATCCTGTATACATCTCAAAGTATGAAAGAATGTATCATAAACTAGAAAATAACACTGCCCAATTTGAAAAAAATCAAAATATCAGAGTAATTCTAATAGCAACTATAAATCTTCTAACGGGCCAGAAACCGTACATCAGAAGACATGCGACTTCATTTCTTCAACTATTTTGCCTTAGCAACGTCTTCTTTCTCATTTTCCACATCATAGTGCTCATAATTGTATTCACATCATTTGATGTCATTGAATACGAATGTTCAACCTCTTTTGTCTTAGCAATGTCATATTATGTGCCTCATAATCCTGCTTTTTAACCTACAATATAAAACAATAACCATAGAAAGAGGGCATTGTGGCAGCATCATAAAGTTTTACAAGCACTATAACTTTCATCTCATTCTTGTTATTACACTTTTTTTCTTAAAAAACTTGTCTCTTAAAATGACTATTCTCTGTTTCAGTAAGTCATTGTGTTGGTTTGATGACTTGCAACTGGGATGGAAACTGAAATTCTCAAACCACATCCACAAATAAGAGATATAGAGCCTTGCACACTACTGTAATTAAGATGCATAAATAATTAATAAACTGAAATAAAGAAGCATCCACTTTCACTTACCTAACGGAGGATGGGGGGCTGAATAGATACCTGGAGTAAAAAACTTTGATCAGTACACACAATCTGATCAATAGCATCGGACTGCCCTTTTATATATTAATTCACAAACTCTTGCAATGTAATTGAAATACAAGTAACACATAATACTCTATTAGTTGTAGAGACACTATTGCCTCTCTGATTTTAAAACCTAAGAAGCATCAAAGTTAGAAAACATAGTACGAAATCAACTGTCTTAGATTAAAAAAAAGAGATAATATACTATGTACATAGTGTCATATATGGCTTACAATTATTTATTATGCCAAATACAAAACGAGTATCTCAGATTCTCAGGTTAAGCATGCTCTTTTCTCATGGGTGTAGCAATTATTCATAACATATCTACACCACTGCAAAGCATTAGTTTCCAGAGTTCATAAAACAAAGATAAAACTAATCAAAAGTTGTGAAGACTTTAAACAAGAATTCTAAATCTTCTTCTTCTTATTTATTATTCAGGATTTACAAATGGCAGAATACATCTATCAAAGTATTACGAAAACAGAGTGTGAAAGAACTCACTTTTTTGCTGATCATAGCAGTTGAAGTAACTCCGAGTGTGAAACTACGCTCTCAGGCTTATAATCTCCCAGTAGTCCTTTCGAAGCATCTGAAGCTGGTTACATTAATTCCATGGCCAGAATTCTCATGAGGAGAATTCACAGCCTTTGAATGCAATAGTTCTACCAGTCGATCAATTTCATTTCAGCATATTCAATGTTTCATATTATTGGCAAGCATATACATACAAAGATGAATAGATACACATCAAGATCACAAAAAAAGATCAAAGAAACTAATAATAACAAAAAAATGCTTTAAAATACATTATTAGTTGTTTGAATTGAAACAACCAAAGCACTTGTCCTTAAAAAACATAAGGCTGAGAGAAAAACTAAAAGTCCATCACTCCATCTCAATGTTAATGTTTGAATATAAATAATCAATTAGTCCTTAAATAGAATAATTAGTTTAGAGAAACTAGTTCAGGCATAGTATGTTAAAGTGAAGGCTATGTTGTTCTACATTGTACGGGTTAGTTAAGAAATGTTGTCAAAGTTTATATTCAAGCTAATAGGTTGGAGGTATTGGAAAGTAATGACTACTCTTAAATGTATACCCCCATTCACCTCTGTCCTAAGCAGATTAGATTCATCTGCCCCTTATGAACCAGATACATTCCACTCATAAAATAATGCACCCTTGCATGTTCGGTTTAATTTTTTAACTTGTCTAACTAAATAATAAGCACAATAGTGGAAACTTGAAAGAACTTTCTTTTAATTAGGAAAATATGAACCACAATTTTATGATATTTCCTCAACATGAATTCACCGTGGTAATTGAAACAATTTACGAAAGCAGCTAAAAATACTAAACCCCTTAACACAAATCAAACTAATACCGAAGTAAAAATTGCAACCCATAAATTTATTAAAGCCTAATACCGACGTCAATTTGCCGCAGCTTTCGCTGGCGTCGATCTGCCGCAGCTTTCGCTGGCGTCGATCTGCCGCAGCTTTCGCTGGCGTTGATCTGCCGCAGCTTTTGCCGGCGTCAATCTGCCGCAGCTTTTGCTGGGTCGATCTGCTGCAGCTTTGGCCGGTACCTGATTTGTCGCAGCTTTGGCCGGTGGGCGGTGGCGACTTGTCGCAGCTTCAGCCAGTGGCGATCCGAAGTGCAATTTTAGGGAGATATGTAAAGCTGACCTATCGGGGTGCAGGGTGCTGATTTGGGTATAAGGGTTTGGCGGTTTGCATATACTACCTCCGTATGAGAGATTCAAAATTGAGAATTTGGGTACAATAATAATCCTATAATAATATGCTAGTGGGGAATAAACGTATGAGCAAATTACATTTGGAAAATAGTCTTAAATATGATTAAACTAATTTCTTAATACATGAATATAATTATGTTATTTGTATTCTCAAAATAAAATTAAAGTGTACTCTATCTTCTTATTCGATCCATCATATAACTTAATATAATAATCATATTTATATTTGTAATAAAAGTAAATAAAAAATAATTTGTAAAAAAAGTAGTAAAAAATATAAAAATATATTAAAAAATCTATTCTTGTAAGTAATAAAATACTACGTAATAAAAAACTAAAAAAAATATTATTTAAAAAAATAACTAAAAATAGATAAAACACATTAAAAAATAAAAACAAAATATGGAGGTCTTTCTCCTAACCGCAATCACCACTCAGCAATGTCACCTCCTATCAGTGAAAAAACAATATTTTTGTGTATAACTGACACTTTTTCTCTAAAAATACCATGAAGATGACATTTTACTCTTTAAAAATGCCAAAAGTTTCTCGAAAAATTGCCACCAAGATGACATTACTGACACATGTTGGCATTTTTTCAGGTGGTTGGATCTGGCGGTGCTGGGAGATTGTTGAGGGCGGCAGCAACACATGTCTATATATATATATATATATATATATATATATATATATTTTTTTAATATGTTTTATTTTTTATATTTTAAGTTTGTAAGTGTTTAAATTTTCGTAATTTTTAAATTTTAAAATTTTTAGTTTTTCTTAAAAAATATAACCAAAAGATCAAATTAAATTATTGAGGCATAGTTAGTCAATAATAAATTACGAAGTATATAAAAATTTGAATTTAGTTCTTTCATTTTTGCACACAATCAACTAGATACACAATTTAATACGAGTAATAATGTCACATATATACGAACATGTTATGCATTATTACACTAATTTAATGCAACACTATAAAAAAATGTTACACAAAGTTTAATTATAAGCAACATTTTGCAAAAAGTGTTGCATATTGTATGATTCGGATGTTTATGCAACATTGATAAATTAGTGTTACATATATTTAACCTAAAATATAATATGTAACACATATATAAAGTGTTACAAGTGAAGTGTTACAAAAACTCTATTTTGTTGTAGTGGTGGTACTCGCCGAGGGTCCCTTCCGGCCGAATGATGTACAAATTACTGAGGTCCAGTTGCGAGTGCCCCTGCGGTGCCCCGTTGCGCTGCTTCCGCCGATACGGTTTCTTCGTCTTGGGAGCTGAAGGGCTTTCCCCTGCTACAGAAGATAACGGAGGGGGGCAGGGAATAGCGGCCGATGAAGAGGTCCCATCCCCCCTCAGAGGCGAGTTGGATGTCGCTTCGTCCTCACCAGAGTTTTGAGCACCACCGTCCTCGCTCAAACGTTCCTCGTCCACCGAGGTGCGATAATCAGCCGTGTTTTCCATCTCAACGGCCAGCTCGTCCACTAGGTTCAAATCGATTCGAGGCGATTCGTCTTCCTCGTCAAAGGGCCAGTCCTCTTCGTCTAACGAGGCTGTTAAATCAACGGGGGAGGGAACGCTACGGCCGTCAGGAAACGGCATAACATCTAAAAGCTTATCCCTAAGGGTGGTTTTTCGGATCAAAGTGGTTTCCCTACAAACACTAGATCTAACCCCCTAGGAAGCAAAGTATAAGGAAAAAACGAAGAACAAAGAAGAATCTAACCTTTGAAGATTTGAAGATCTGGAAAAGATTGATGAAGACTTGAAGGAACACTCCGAAGGTTTCTCTCTCTAGAAAGTTTGACAGCACTTCGTTGCTCAGCAAGGTTGCAAATGAGGTATCGCCTCGGGGGTTAGGGGTATTTA